GGAAGCAAATTCAAAAAAAAAGAGAGTCTAGCAAGTAATAAGACTTACTTACTTATTGTACAATCTTTGGCTCTTAGGTAAAGGATTATGGAAGGGTGAAACACAAGAGTTCTCTTTTAGTGTAACATACTAAATATACATTGACAGTGTTTTTGAAGCTTGTATTTTTGGTGCTTGCAAATGACCCGGGATCAGCTGGGGAGAATTTAGACTTGCTTTTTCCTGCTCCTTCTTTAACTAGGTCGGCCTCAATAGAGGATCATCTTGATCACCACCTCCAGCCCCTTTTTTTCAGTTGATTACTGGGTTTGTGAGGTATCTCCTATTGCATTTGACTCTACTCTTTCCTTGTTGGCAGAGAGGATGGCAAGTGACTACTTGGTTTTTCCTCCTTTTCCTGATATTGCTTTTTTTATGCAGGAAGATTTGTTGCTCAGTTACGTGGTGGGATAGCTATGCCTTGTCCCCTACGTTTATCGGAACAGCATGCTTTGGCAAATCACTGCAAAAATTCACATAGGATGGACCTTCTTTTGGAAACTGTGGGGGTCTAGTTTGGAACCTATGATCACTTTAAACAGATCAGTTTTCTGGGATTTGTTTTACTCTCACGACTTTCCTGAGGCATTTATCTTTGATCCAATTTTTTGTCGGAAGCCTATCACTGTTCCTCTCAGCAATTTGTGGACAAGTTGGGGATTTTGCTGACGTCTACCTCAGTCAGATTGTCTTCTTGAGTTCTTTCTCTGGTTTCCTGTTTTTTTTTTGTTGGGATTTATTGGGTTAGAAAGTGTTCATTTAATCTCTTTTGCTGTCAGGGAGTTATGGGAAGCTCTTTTTCTCCATCCCATGTTGTTTGCCGGAGTTTCAGAAATGTTACAATCACGAACTGATTCAGCTTGTTTACATTCTTCTTTATCGTCGTTGGCTTCTTGCCTTTCTGGCACTAATTTGGGAGTGTTGGCTCGTACTGTTTCCCGATCCCCTCCTTCGGTTCCCAGATTTATTGGTTCCCATAATAGAGTCTGTCCATATTCTCAAGGATCTTCAGCTCAGGTTGAGAGTTGACTATGGCGTTGGTGACTATCTTTTGGGTGGGGGAGCAGTGGGAGCACGATTGCATCACTTTCTGGACATCTGGAGTTCTTTCACCAGGGATCCATGGGTACTTCATGTTCTGGCTTCAGGGTTGGTCATTCAGTTTACATCACCTCCACCATTATCTGCACAACCTGTTGCCTTTTCACCTCCAACAGATCCATGACGAGTGTAACTTTGTTCCCAGGCCATAAGAGAATTGTTAGCCAAAAGGGCAGTAGGAAGGATTGATTCCATTCTTCCAAGATTTTATTCCCGTTTATTCATTGTACCCAAGAAGACAGGAGTGTGGCATCCAATCATCGATCTCTTTTGACTCAACCAATTTTTAGATCCTCCTCGCTTTACAATGGAATCTTTTCTCAACCTACGATGGCACTTTGCTCCAAGGCTCTAGATGACCAATTTCGATGTTACCAACACTTATCTCCATATTTTCATAGCAGAATCTTCCCAGATATTTCTCAGATTTGTGCACAAGAGTCAGGTGCTGCAGTTTAGGGCTCTACCTTTTGGTCTTGCATCAGCAACTTATTTCTTCTTCAGAGTTGTTCGAGCTTTTTCTCATCACCTGCATTCCTTGGGCCTGTGCACACATCATTATATGGATGACTG